GTATTTGCTATAGCCTGTTTCCTTTGAAAACATGTCCTGTAATAAATGTTTCCAGTTTTCTGAAAGACTTTCATGATTTTCAACTGACAAAGGTTGGCTAAAGGAGGGGATGTTAAAATAACAATATATCTTGTATGCTTCGGCGAAAATTAAAGCTCACTACTGACCGATTCGCTGGTAAAAAAATGTGCATTATCATATACACTGACAAACCTTTGTTTGCCTTATATGGCTATTGTTATAAATGCGCACAGAGGATCTTACCACGAGCAACTGACCAATCGTTGAATGAATAGCAACGTTTACGCCAAACACATGTTTACATTTTACTTCGAACACGTAGTTCAGGTCAATCTACGATCATGTTAATGGACTGTAAAATAAAAAAAATGTTCTTACGAACAAAATATAAAGATAAGAAACTATGAAAGATGTTACGGACGTTTTTAATTTGTTGTTAAATAGAAAAAATGTTTAATAAAATGTAGTTTGTGTCTAGTTTAGAACACCAGCGCTTCAAGGGTAAGGAAAACGAGCAGCATCTCTTATGCATAAGTTTACGTTCGTGATCACGTGTTCGGCCAGGGAATTCACCTGGCAATTGCATTCACCGATAGTACAACAAAGGAATTAATACAGACGCAAATCGCTTTTGCAGTACGACTTTCAGAAACCTAGACTTCCGCCGTTTATTTAACAAATGAATTGTTTGTCATTATAAGCATGAAAATAATATTTTTAAAAATGCCTTTCATTTATCATAAGATTTTCCTTTTTTTCAAGCGTAAAATTCCTGTAGAAAACGTAACCCATAATGCAATACTCATTCAGCTGATTGGTCAGTTAAAATCATGCTGGTGCCTCATTTGCTAATCTGACGCCAAAAAATATAGTCCCGGTTCCCATGCAAAAAATATTTGTCCAAAAAGAAATTTTAATTCATGACTGCAGAAAATTGTATTATAGAGAAAACTTATGTAAGCTTGAATGAATGTAAAAGAGATCGATTGATTGAAGTACATTTCTACAGACATTATCAGCTGATTCTAGGGTGGTGAAAACTGAAACGCAACATAACTTTTCTGTTTACCATGCCTCCACGTGCTAGTCACTTCCTAACCACATTTCCGTGAATAATTTACCCTATCTCGCTGAAGTCTCGCTAACTCTCGCCAGAGCCACTGCCAGAGCTACTCTGAACTCATCGGGTTTTATAATTTGCAGAACACCGAAAAATAAAAGGTTCCGAACACATTAGTAGGGGTGATATTGACATTATGTAAGGACCTGTGGATACGAGTTGGACACTCAAAGGATTAACGGACGGATGCATAGACCGACGGACGGACGGACACCCAATCACTGTAAACATCCTTTTCAAAGGGGATATTAAACAAAGCGAAACTGTTAGATTTATTTAAGGAATAAAGCTTATTTCAACTTATATTATACGATATAACATAACTTGTGGCAGTTTACGCTTTATAAACCGCGAAGCGGTTTATAAATCAAAGTACTGAAAGTACTCATGGGAGTTGAAAATGGTAATCTGAAAGATCTCACAGGAAGTAGAGGAACATTTTCATGCTTTCAGATTTAAGTCAGCTAGAACTAATTTGTTAGAGATACAACACGAAAAAATAATTTCATTTGCATTTGAATAGCGAAGATCATAGGACTGCTTTTAAATTAGCTGCAGAACTGTTGCTCTCCGAAAAAAAAATTGATAGACCGGAGAGCTACAGTGGCACCCATTGCAAAAAAAAAACACACCTGTATATATTTACTGCACACAAAAAAGTGTGTGCGCTGATTCTCGATTTATTTTTCCATGTTTCTTAAACTGTCACATCAAAAATATTCTTTCACTGTTTTCACAACAAAACATTCCTTGTAATTGTTGTTATTAGCCCTTCAGCCCCTTCTGACCTCAAAATTGAGATCATATAAAATGTTGTCTATTTATGCTGCGCTGCAATTTTGGTTTGCAAGATTATTTGGCCCAACGCACTTCGTGCAAATGTCAAATATATTAAGTGAATTTCATAGAGGAGGAAGGGATTTTTATAAATCTTTTTCACGTTTGAGGTAAGAATTAGAAAGAATTAGTCCAAAACTAAGCTCAACTTTTCGTGCTCAATAAATGTACTGTTTTTACAATGGGTGGTGCTGTAGATCTGGGGCATGTCAAAATATTTTTTCGGACTGCTACAGTTCTGCAGCTACTCTAAGATACAGGTCAGTTATTGCAGGTAGGATTCAAACTTCTTTCAGTACCATTTATTACTCAAACACTGTCCTCATACTTATGAAACATTTGAATCAAAACGCCCCCTTCTCTTTTTTGAATGTGTACAAGATATTTGGTCCCAACAAAGAAACAAACACTCTTTATATTCGAGGTTACCATCAACAGAGACTAGATTGTCAATTTTCTTTCTCTGATTAAAACAAGCATTTGATTTTCTCTTTTGGGTTTGAATGGTTCTTTTCGGACACAAAAACTAATTTTTGTATAATTCCGTGCTTATCTTTTTATATCAAATGTATCTTTCATTATATATTTAATAATTTTACATTTCATTTCAAGAAATTTCTATATAGAAGTAAGTATGTCTGAATACTTTACATTTTGTTCATTTTATGTTCGAAAATTTTTTACTCATATTGACACACTACTACTTGCCGATGGAGCTAGCTACATGTAGGTCTATGAATTTTTACCCATACACAGCACTCAGAATCATTGAGCAGTAAGGGGTAGTTTTTTGCCAGCACCTACAGCGAAATGGGATTTCGGTTTATAATGGCCTGATCAAAAGAGTTCATCTCAAAATGCATCCCTCAGGAACGTGCGACGCAGGGTATCAACACCTTACTTTGAATCTCTAGGGCGAACTATTTTTACGGTAACAACTGCGCCAAGCGAGTGACACTTAGTTTTTGTGATTTTGATTTGACTCAAATGTAATTAAAAGTCAGACATATTTTAACGAGCTACTACAAGAAAAAAAAAACATGAGGAACGATATGGTTTTACACATCAATCATTGGAATCATTTTAGCTTTGTGTCTGCATACACATGAATTCATTCAGTTTAATTGTTTTATTAATTATTAATTAAAGCCACGTACATTTTTCAAGTTCAATTCTATTGATGAGCACTTGACCAACTAAATGCTGATAAATTCATGAAATTAAAAATTAATGTCATTTGAAATCGTGATATCGAATGTCAAAAAAACTTGAGTAGCATTTAAATACTATTATTTTTTCCCTTTACCAACGTAAAAAATGAGTTGCATGTATCTGGTCTGACAAAAACTTTTTCCAGTCTAACAGACCATTTTACTTGTGAGAACAAAAAATGCCTGACCGTGATTTTTTTCCCGTACTGTTTTTTAAACGAAGCGTTGTTCTGTCTCTTCATTGCTGAAACAAATTGAAAGAAGTTGTGTAAAACCATAGCGTTCCTTTTGACATTACATGTATTTCACAGCTTCTTACTCTGACAGCAGACAAAAGCTCTATTTTAAGTAATTTTGAACCTTTCCAAATATTTTTTAAATCTTGTCATTACTTTAAATGACATGCCATTGAACCATTTGGTATAAAAAGGAGAGAATGAACTAAACTTAAGTATCAAAAAGTTTACTATTCAGAATAAACTTTTAACAGCACTTGGGCGTAGAGTCAGCCGAGGATTGTCAATTGATAAATGACAGAAAACTGGGACTATTTTTTTATCCGGAAATCAAATGTCTGGGTCATTTCTAGGAGATATGACAAAAATATGCTTTTCAACTTAAGTTAAATAAAATTCAACTTAATTTACTTTCAAATTATTTATTGAAAGTTAAATTAATTCAGAAAAATGAGATGGATTATTTTTAGTGCGGAAGCTTCTTCGAGTTTATATAGAATGGTGCGAGTTGAATATCACAGGGGAGTAAAATTCCCGACATAGAAGCACCACGGCAGCCACTATATAATTCATTGTAAAATTACTGCGCTAGAAATCGCGTGGCGACCATGGGAGATTGAACACAGTTCAACTCCCAAAAAGCGTAAACTGCCCCAAGTTTCGTTATATTGTATAATATGAGTTGAAATAAGCTTCATTCCTTATTTCAGTGCAGACAATGAGATTATTTTCTATCCACAATAAGGCTTCATAATGATGAAATTTTAAAAGTAACGTCAAGCGGAGTAATACGTTTTTTGACGTAACTCATTGTGACGTAGGAAAGTTATGTTATCCAAAATGGATAAAATCTTTTATCTAATCAAATGGAGTGTTACAGGTAAAATTAAATTATTAATATGTAAACAAATGTTTTACAGTGACAACTTTTTCTATTTAGTAGTGTGTGTGTCAATACATTAGACTTACTGTATTCTTGTCCATTCACATGTGATACATCTTCAACACAATTAAATCTTGATCTCAGAAATTAAAACAAATTCGACCTTTAATTCAATGTCCGTACCTTAAACTTATTAAATGATTTATTTCCCCCTTTACGAATATAAATAGATTCTGATCATACATTTCAATGATATTTTAATTTGTGATTTATACATGAAAAGAGGATATATGTTTATAAATATTTAATAATCCTATAAGAAGAAAACATGTATGCTGTTAATTTATTTTATATGACAGTAGTCATTACATTTTGGTTCAGTAAGTATTAAAAGACTTAAAAGACTAAAAGAAATATTTCCTGCAATTTTTCAATTCTAATTTTTTTTAAAAATAAAAACATGTTTTTGAATGAGGTACAATTATAAGTGCACAATTCAATGCTAAATTATTACCCAACTATTCCGAATCAAATTATAATGATCAAATTGGACACTATAATTATAGACTGAATATTTTAAAAGTTGAGAATTCGAAGTTGCAAATAATCCTCAGAAATCTTTGTGATAAAATGATTGTCTTCAAAAATATCAAAATATACACTTGGATCAATTTTATATAATTATGTTTTAGATACTTCTTTCGGAGTTCACACTAAATCAGAGGAAATATATCTCCCTTTATCTGAGGAGATAACGATAGAAACTCCGGGATATCCAATGAAAAACTACACGAGGGACACAATTTATAAGTGGATAGTGACAGCACCTGAATTAGCAGAGGAGATAAATATCACGATAGAAATGGATGTTCACGAAACACCAGGATTCCCATGTGATGACTACTTAAAGGTGCAGTATTAAAAGTAACTTTTTAGAAGGTATATATTATTTGTGAAGAATTCAAGAGGTTACGTACTGAACATAATATATTAGAAGCTCAAAATTGCAAACTTTTAAAAGAAAATTTACAAAAATGATGCAATTATACTCACAGTACGAATTGAAATATACCATACGGACGTTGTTACTGTTTTAAGGAGGTTGGCTCCTGTTTTAAAAAGTGTAGTTTTAAAGTAAGATTTTTTTGTCAAGCATATTTTTAGAATTTCCACACAAAGCTTAATTAAAATAAAAAACAAAACAAAAAGGGGGTCAGTGCGCTTCTTTAACACAATGGTACAATAATATGACCTTTTTGCACTTTTGCAGGTTCGTCGAACATATAACTCATTTTTTTTTCTTCAAAATTCTAACTTTGATATTTTTATCCAATTGAATATTTGGAACAAACAGTCTTTTTTCACCCTGAATAGTCACATTAATATTTCTGACAAAATAGTTTGAAACTACTGCGCACAGTTAATTATTTGATCTTTCTGTACTCTAAAAATGGGAAGGGGTGCGTTTTTAATTTTAAATGAAAAAAATCATTTGAAAATAATGTCATTTTTCTGAATTTTACCAGAATGGATATAATTATTTTAGATACAGCTCAAAGCACTTTTTTAACTCACATTTTTTTGTCTCACAAATTAAAGTAACATTTTTCTTGAAATGAAACTGAAAATTATCGAGCTTAAATCATTATCTTTAGTTTTAAAAGTCAACGTTCTAAAAGGGAAATTGTTTATAAATTGTATGATGTTAAATGTGTATGCTTCTATCATAGGTATTCACAAATTAATAAATCGAACTTTCAATGATATTATTCAGTTGAAATGTTCAAATTAACTTCTTACAGATGAATATTTTTCTGGGTACTTTGAACATTTTCCATTCTTGTCTTGGGTTTGTCGAAATGCAGCGCCGAAAATAACAAAACTGTATAAGAAATCATCTGAAAGGATAGGGTACTAGAATATTGTTAATCTTTCAACTTAGTAAATTGTAAATATTAAAAAGGATTTTTTTTTTACATTTATGGTCTGAACTTTTGAAATTTTGCATGACGATAGATGAAAAAAATGCCATCTTTTTAACATGGAAAGCAGTCGAACAGATGAGAAATATTTGTATCATCTTGCAACTTAGTATCATATTAATGTACAGAAAATACAGCAGTTATATGACCTGCACTGTTTCTGTATCAAGGCAAGGCAAAAGAAAATTAACGGATACAAAGACGTTTGCATTTGAAGTGACAAAATAAAAACCATTTGGAAACTCTCATAATATATCATCCAAGAGTATGTAAAAATCCTACGAATTATTATGTGTGAATTATTGTTTAAAGTAATGGAATATGATCAAAATTAAGTATTCATATTTTTTGGTTGTCACCTTACACAATTTTGCATTATAACAATGTGACCTTAATTTGTGCGAAAAACCATGTGAGTTAAAATGTGCGTTGAGCTGTATTTGGAGAATTGTATAAGAGTGGGGGTCTGTGATGTTAACAATTTTAAGCTTAACATGGGTTATTTTTATCCAAGGACTTTCACGATATATTTGATATTTTTTTCAAATATGATGATAGAAATCAAGACAGTTAAGTTAACATGTAATTTAGGACCAGCATTAAACATTATATTTAACAAAATTACTCATTAATTTGTAGGCTGATGTAAAAATAGGAATGCAAACAACAATACTGAATACTAAGAAAGAGAATTAATTCTAGGAACTAAGTCATTAAGTATTTTTTTTAAATAGAGATAAGCAGAGAGCGAACCTCTTATATAAGTCTAGTATTAAAGCTTTATGGCTGTCTTATACATGATATTTGAAAAATGAAGCAAAACAAGATTAATCATGGGCTTCAAAGCAAAAAAAATATGTCTGTTAATTTGTTTTGTTTACATTTTAGTAGTATATTTAAAAATAACATCTTTTTAACTAGATTCAGGATATCGATGTCAACTTCAAACTCTTTAATAAATGTGGAAAACGAAGAGAAAATAGAACAGCAAGAGGAAACAAACTTTTCATCACTCTCTTTTCAGACAACGACAGAAATACAGCTAAAGGTTTTCGACTAAGTCTTAAAGGTAAGTATTTCTATCACTGTTTTAAATTCTATATACTTCATTAAAACGCTTCCATATCTGATATATCATATAGAAATTATTGCAAAATGATTCTTAAGGTAGTCCGATCCTCAGGTTCTAGAAATCAGGCTTTGAACAGATGTAATTGGAGATGCTTACAAAATGACTCTAAATTCTCAATGCAATGTGTAATTACCAAGGTGTTTCTTGAAACTTAATCTTCAAACTTTATCATTTTTATTTAGGAAAAATTAGTAAATCTCAAGTTTAGAAATGCGAAGAAAACTACCTTCTTTATATTTTCTAATCGAAAATTGATCATTAAATACATTATAGGTATAAAAATCATAGGTATCCCGCCTATGGAAGAAAATTGCAAGATTTTTATACTTGTTTTTGGTACCTATGTTTCTCATATTTACGTCAATGATTTTATTATGCATAATGTAGAATTATTTCCTATCAAGGAAAACACAATAAATCACAGCAAATTTCATATCATGCAAAAAAAATTTGGTAACTGACCCAAAATTGAATGAACTTTGATTTCTTTAAATATATCATTTTAAGGTGTTTCCACCCTCACACTTTTATAGGCTAACAATACAAAAACTGCATTTATTTTCATTTATTATACTTTGAATTTTCCAATTATTGCAAAAAATGTATAGGTCACCATATTATTTAAGATGCGAAATATAAATAAACAAAAGTGTATGTCAACATAAAGAAAATCACATTTTTTGTAAACATATTATGAAAAATTTGTAAAACCTTGTTAAAAAGCATAATTCTGATACTAAATGTTCCTACATTCTTCCTACTTAAAAGATCCTTTTGAATTGTGAATATCAGGGAAACTATTTAACAATAAAGCAATTGCCTGAATGAAGAGACCTTAGAAGGAGTTATTGCCCTTGTCAACATTTTTTAAAGATTGAATAATTGATTAAATATAGAAAATATGCATTTATAAATTCTTTAACTTAACACTATTTATAATCACGGCAATTGTAAAGCATTCTCCCAAGAGATATTGTTCTATTAGGTATTAATTAAATTAATTTCAGTTTTTGCAAAAATCTATGACATCATAGGAGGGTGGAATTACCTTAATTTACTTTAATGAGGTACACATATCAACTTGTTAAATACCATCTCATATCTAAAACTCCAAAGAACCTTGAATCACATTGACAGACATAAAATAAGAATTGTTTAATGAAAAGATTTCAATTTCAAGCTTTATTTTGTGACTTTAGATTTAAACATAGAATTAAAGAGTTATCCTTCCTGGCTGCAGGCTGGGGATCGGATATCCTTAAACATCAAAATCACTTACAATGTATATATATAAGACAAGTTGTAGTAATCAAAATTAGGTAAAAATATTGATAGAATGATATCTTAAGAGAGGATCATTTAACTTTAATACAACTTCAATTTCTCACCAATGAAGTCCTAGTAACTGTACATTATTTTAGGCATACATTATTATCATTAATCCAGTTATATAACGGAGAAAAATACCCTTTTTACTGACAGTATTAAAGATTTCAACAAGACAAACAATAAAAACAACATTGGCATCAACTACATTACCAGTGTCAACGATATATACGAGTCCGGCGAGAAAGGCAACAACGACAGCATCACCAAAATCACCATTTCGTCATAAAACTAATACTACAATCAGAACAACAATTTCAAATATACTTTCAAAAAAAATATCTTCAACGACAAAAGTTAAACGAAGAACAATAAAAACAACTAATCAAACAACAACACCAAAAGAGATTCTAACAGAAGTAACGACAAGAAAAACAATAGAAACAACTCTCCCCAGTCAGGCAGCTACTCGTCCAACAACACCAAACGAGATAACGAGTGAACTTATGAGTTCTGCACCAGCCACATGGTACAGCTCACTGCCAACACTGCCCTTAACGGCAGGCAAAACCTCGAAAACGACACGTGTTGTTATAACTACTGGTAAGAAAGAGACAGAGAGAGAGCATAATATTAATTTGCCATCCTTACTTGATCAAATGCTTTAAATAATAATTATAAACTATTTCTAAAACAGGGTAATTAATTGACAACAATTGCAACAAGAATATCAGCAGACGATTTTAAAGCCATCTCTTAGCTAATTTTATTGTCAAATAATTATCTTTTCAGCACATACAAACAGCACATACAAACAAATGCTAATTACGTTTTTTTTTACTAGTAATTAGGTCATTATGAACACAGTTTATTGTCGACTGTATTTTCTAAAAGATTTTTTTTGTAAAAATGAAGAAAACACTTACTGTGGGCTACAACTCGATATATATATATATATATATATATATATATATATATATATATATATATATATATATATATATATATATATATATATATCGACGATTACCAATTAACGAATCATAATTATAGTTATTTCTATTCTTATGTCAAAACGATATATCCCGATGAGCTTGTAATGAAAGAAACAACAGAATCTGACATCTGTTTCATATTTGGATATTTTATTTGAAAAGAGACATAAATGGTAAATTTCCAACCAAGCTCTATGATAAACGGGATGAACTTAATTTTAAATCGTCAATTTCCCTTACTTATGCAGCATTATTCCATCACATGTATTTGGAGTTTATATCTCCCTGTTGATTCTATAATCATTACAAACTTTTAATTTTATGGAAAAGTATTTGTTTCATAAAATGCAAGCTAATATAAGTGATATATTTATTCAAACTTATTTAAATTAATTTAAATATGTCTATTTATAAAAGCATTTTTGAAAAAGACATAATGAATGACTTTAAAGTGTTTTTTTATTTAGAACAAAGATATGAACTCCTTATTGTTTTTTTAAATATAAATTCAGAAAAGATAAGAAAACACTTCAATTTTTAAGTTGAACTGAAAAAAAGCCCCGAACAATAATCATGCTTTAAAGTCCATTTAAAGAATACATTCGGGAGCTAAGTGTAATCTCCAAAGCATCAGATAATGAAGAGTCAAAGATCAATCTCAAAAATGAACTAAATGAAACTAATAGAATAGAATAAATTTTAAAACATGGACCGCTGGAAACATCAGAGGTGGGATCAGCTGTCAAGGAGGAGTACACATCCCCTGTTGACCAGTCATGCCCGCTGTGAGCTGTATGTATTGTTGAGGGTGATGTATGATTCAGACTAATCACTCCGTAGTCGAACGTGTAAATAAAATTAGTAAAAACCGACTTAAACGGGGTTGTTGATACCCATTTAAAGTCCGTAAATTGTCACCACCTTGTCTTGGTTTATATGTTAATGATCATTAATGTTTATATTCAGTTACAAACCTCTTAACGATAAAGAGGTAGCATCAGATTCTGTAGTGTCCAATTTCAAGAGTCCGATTTGAAATGTAGAGTCGACATGTACAAATATTACATTATGGGTCAAGTTATTTGTGAACATCTTGCATAAATAAAATAAACACCGAGTTCCGAGTTCCTCAATGCAATCATTTCCTCATACCTCAAGTACAATAAGTGGATAAGTGTCAGCTAAACCTTTGATAACTTTTATGGAACCTTGTTCTTTCATTCAAAGCAGGAGTCTTGAACCATTATATATCGTTTAGACATTTAGATTACATGACCAGTACGTACTGGTCCCTTTGTTTGTAGGACTCATTATATAAATTGTATTTTAGAAGAATTCGGATTTAATTCTACAAGTGGTAATCCTACTTATACTCATACTTCCCTTTCTAAGGAAGAAATTCTTCAAAATCGTATGTCAGTTTTGAATATTTTTAATATTCCACAGAGCCAAAATGAAGTTGAACTACCGTATCTATATACATTGGATTCCGAAACTTCATAAGAATCCTTACGAACAAAGATACATCGCAGGTCCCAGTAAATGTTCAACCAATCCTCTTTCGTTACTCCTCATTTAGATATTAACATTATTGAAAGAAAAAAATCAAGAGTACTCTGCAACAATATATCCAAAATGGATTTGAATCAGTTGTGGGTACTAAAAAATTCCAAAGAATTTTAGGACCATTTGAAATCACAAGAATTCACCAAAATTAACAGCTTAAAAACTTTCGACTTTCCAACTATATACACAATAATTCCCCACGATAAATGAAAGTCCAGGCTTTTTGATATCATTGACAGCTGCTTATTCAATAAAAATAAAAATTTACTAACCTTGTCATTGGCCATTTGCAAAATTATTTTGTTAAAACACATTTTGATTGGACACACAAGTACTCTGAAATCGACATCAAAAAGATGCATGGGTTTCTGATTGACAATATCTATATGGTTTTTGGAGACCAGGTCTTCCAACAATCTTTTGGAATTCCCATGAGTCCCAATTGCTCTCCGTTATTAGCACACCGTTTTTTTTATATTCATAAAAAGAGCAGAATTTGTGCAAAATCTTATGCGTGAAAAGAAGAAAACTTTTGTTGTGGCCTTTAACTCGACATTTAGATATATTTTTTTCATACTTAATGTTAATCCATTGTTTACACACTGAAATGAGACGGATTTTCTGTTATTTTCCAAACATGAAAAGGAGCACACGGCGTGTCTTACCGGTCAGAGGGGATGTTCACTCCTCCGTGGCACCTTACCTCTGATGTTTTGGAGGTCCGTATTTCCTCTGCTTCTATTTTTATACTCCCCGCTTTATAAAGTGGGAGGGTATATAGTAATCGGGGTTTCCGTCCGTCCGTCCGTCCGTCCGTCTGTTACTCTTTATCACTTATCCGCAACTCCTCTTATACTACCAAGTGAAATTTAATGAAACTGTCAAAGAATCTTTATTACATATTGCCATTGTGCATCTCCTATTTTACTTTTTTATTCGACACGTATTTTAGGTTTCCCATAGCAAAACATGGACATTGCCATTCTATTCTTACCTATGACGTCACATATAGAAGCTTCTGGATAACATTTGATAGGACGAGTTATTCATCTTGACACATTACCGTAAAACAATATATAGCAAAACATGGATATTATGGGAGGCGGGGGGTATCATTTAGTGAGCTCATTGCTCACAGCACCTCTAGTATATTGCTTTGTGGACTTTGATATTGAATACTGTTCGTTATCTCCATATCCTTATTCTGTATACAACTATCCGGTATTATACAAGTGCGATCAATAGTTTTGTTGACTTTGCTTTCAGATTTACACCAAATTATAAATTCAGAAATACCAAATTCATCAAGCACAACGCTGAATGCTGTAACCTCAACGGAAACCAATCCGTTTGTTCTCAGTCAAGAAATGGGTTTGGAAGTTAAAAATCTCTGCTATGAACTATGTTTTTGCAAAGAAAAACACCTCTTTTGCTTCTTTCTGTTTCATTCATAAAAATACAAAATGTGTTTTTCTTTATTTTATATCAATTAATTACAAAAATGATTTCCAATAATATCCCAAATCAAAGAAAGGAATTACCTATTATTTATCTATTATTAGGAGCCTTTTCAAGTTATTCAAATACATTATTTTGATTACAATTTTTGTAAACTTTTCAAGTAAATTCTATGTCACAATCGTTATATCTATTGCATTGTATCTTCAGTGATTTTGATGGCGGGAATCGGAGTGGTAGAAGTTACGATAATAATTGTGGGTATCCTAGCAGTCAAGAGATATAGAAAGCAAAGGTAAGAGGGGACATCAGAATCAATCATATTTTTATCTACATTATTAAAACCGTTGTTGTCAATGTAAGAATAAAAGAAAAATATAGAGTCAGACAATAAAAAAACTGGAGACTGTTTCTATTTCTACAAGGAATTCTATTCTGTAGAAATAACACGACAAGACACAGTAAAGAGAATGTCGGTCGACCCGTTTCTAGAAAGACAGTCTGCAGCATTGATAATGTATATGCCACAATTCCAGAGGAAGAATTCGATGAGAATCCATACAAAGATCTTTCTGAGGATGTGTATGATACAACCTCAAAAAGACGATCTCATGTTAATGGTAGCTGGAGTAATAACTCCAGAGGAAGTTTTTATTCTCGTTTGTTTCGGAGTTCAAAAATAAGCGGAAGAAGTACAGTACAGGAAATGCATCCAATGTTTTCAACATTCCGAGACACGAAAAAGGAAACAAAGTAATTAGTTTAATCTCAGATAACTGTTTGTGTGACTTTAATTACTATCATAAATTTTTACATGTATTTTTTAAAACAAGGTAGGGTCTCAAGAAATATATTGCCCAGTGTTTTCTAATATATGAAGGTGATATAAGAAATTAAAACTCTGACTTTTTGAACTGTTGAAATTCCATGCAGTAGGAATATACAAATGGTATTTCTCAGATGACCTACTAAGGGCTTATAGGGACGTCTTGAACGTGTGCATTTTTTCCCATATTTTCTTAAACTTTTCAAACGACACCATTTTAGTGCATTCTCTATTAGATAATATGGAGAACGTGCATCACCAAAACCATTTTGAGATTTTGTGATTTTTCAAAGGATTATACATATGTATATCATAAAAAAAATGTAGTAAGAAAGAACTTTGGGCAATTGCGCTTTTTGAGGGATATAAATGCAGAAATGAGTCATATTAATCTTTTCTGTCGAAAACTTTTTTTAAATACATGTAATAAATGTATGTAAAAATAAATGACGTTTTATTTTCAGTATGTCATATTTATTTCATAATTTATCACATTTACATACTCAACTCAATTTCAAGGTACAGATAATTCAAATTCTTTTAATTGTTTTATTTTTTTTAAAATTGTTTTCAAGGAATTAATTTTAAATGGGAATTGTGTATACTATGAATTTTAATTGTTATGTGGTTTTTTTTATCTTTGTTAACCAGAATCAACTGCCGATGAATCAATTGCAGATCTCTGCAGATTGTACAGCTAATAAGTGAAATATATTTGAAATATAAATGAACGTGTGATTAACATATCTGAATATACTTTTTATTCTTTTAACCTTGTATTTTATCCTTGTACAAATTAGTAACAACGTACATATGCTGAATCATGCACATTGATGTACATAAATGATATATTATTATCGGGCTTATTGCTAGATTATGCTATCATTTAGAAAAGTGTTTTGAAGCGAAGAAATATTTCAAGATAATTGGGACATTAATATATATATATTAATTGCATAAAAATGTATATTATTTGTGTACATTGTCATACTAAGGTAACCATAACCAACTTTTTGTAGTCAAGCATTATTACAAAATTTCAAAATTTTCCAATATTTTATCCATATGACGGTTTAACTAATGTATATTTTATTTATTATATGTCATTATGTAGAAGGAAGAATTAAAAAAGTTAGTTTGAAATTCATAGAAATTGAAAATTCTCTTAAAAATGTCAGATTTCACAAAATACTTTAAATTCAAACATGTGTAAAACAATATTATTTATTTTAGGTTCCTCATTATAATGAAACATATTATATAGGGAAATATCCTATCCGAAATATATTATCAGGAAACATAAAAATGTTATATATCCATGGTCTCAAAAACATTGTTTTTTTAATGAAACATATGGAGATAAAGTACAGTATTCAATAATAAAGGTCCATAAAAAATACAAAATAGGAGCAGAACAAACAAAACATCAGAGGTGGGATCAGGTGCCATGGAGGAGTGAGCATCCCCTGCTGACCAGTCACACCCACCCTGTGCTCCTTTATAAACAATAAAATAATAATAATAATAATAAATATAAAAATGTAATCCAATGAATGTTTCTCCTTGAAGCAGAGAAATATGTCACTCTTTTAAATAAAACATGTTTAATGTTTGGTAAAGGTCTTGACACGTTTGTTACAGGAATTGAACGAGAACAGGTGAACCTTTGGTAGGTTTTTACTATCTAAATTCCAATTTTGTTTTTGTTTTTTTATATTTATAAAGTCCATATTGTTTAAAACGGCCTACGGAGAAAACAGATTCGTCTAAGATTCTAAATATGACAGATATTCCGTGCCTCTTGATGTAAATTTTTCTTAGATCATATAAATATAAATATAATACACATCAAATTAGATAATGTAAATAAAATTAGAATTTTCATTATTTTGATTCAAAGGATCTGATTACGAAACCATGGTATTTATACAATAAATTATATATATATATGAATTCTACAACCATTATGGTCATTTTCAAACAAGAGTGAAGGAAAATGACTCCTTTTAAATTGTATCAAAAGTTCGTATTATGTATAATTTTGAAAATATACTGCAAATATTTTCGAATTTTTAGAACCTATGATAGCAAATTCGGCCTAGTTTTTGACCGTATGTTCTAACATGAATAATATGAATAAAGATGAAAAGAATAGGCGGGTACTGGACATTTGCGAAATAGCGTGCAGTGGACAACAGACTTCAGACTTCGGACTTTAAATAAGGGGGAACATCTCAAAGTGTAGGATCTATAAATTCTACTTTGCGTTTAAATTAATAATGTAATGACATTTGATATGATGGTTATCAATAAACAACATACTTCTCCGACATTTATAAATGGGAAAGGAGGAACACTTAGATTACTTTAATGTTTCAGTCAGTCTCTTTGGAATCGGAACTCGCATCAAAAATGTATTTTCCTTTTCTCTCTCGTTTACTTCTTATTATTCTCCACCTTTAGAATTTTATTGATATTTGTCTTTCAGGATTTTTCAGTTTTAAAAATTGTTTTCTATATGCATGTTTTAACCCCCCCCCCCTCCCGAAAAAAAGAGAAAAGGATATGTCTTAATGTATATCTAATTTGAAATAAATAAAGAGTGATGTACATTTGACTTTGTTGGAAACATTTTGCAGATTTCTGATCTACTCAGCTTTCTCAGATTTATACCAATTTCAATTACCTGGTTCAATCCATTTAAATAAGCAAGGCTTTATATAAAGACTTAGTATTAGAACACAAATTCTAATTTGGCTTAATTAAATTAGGGTACAATACGTTAATTAAAAAGCCAGTTGATTCCACCCTCCCACAAGCACACACGTTTTGGTACAGTACTTGTATAGTCTGTGAAACTATCTTATACAAGTCATATTAAAGATGGAAATTACCCCCCCCCCCCTTTTGCACATATATTCCCTTCCTTCGAGTTTAGAATATTCACCTTTTTCTGTTTGTCAAACATGTTTTCAGGTAAGTTGTAACCCCCCCCCAAAAAAAAAACCCACAAATTTTCAAAATCGACATGCCTATTCAGTACATATTTTATATATATCAAATAACTGGAAAAATTTAGCTTTAGAACTTTTAACATTTGTTTTATTCAATATTCAACAAAAAAATTTAATCTTTGAGAGACAACTTTTATTTATTGTCATTTAACTTGATTTCTAGATTGACCGCTGTATTTATAATAGACTAATTTAGTACAAGTTTTTATAAAGTAAAATATTAAATGAAAGTTTTGACAAAATTCATGCTTTCTACTCAATTCATTTTCCTACGAAAATATTTTTGCAGGGCGTTAAACACCCCTTATTTATTAAGGTTGATTTACAGTTTATCACATTGATCGGAAGTTGTACCTTTAGTTTGCAAATTAGAAACAAATTGATTGTGAAGTTGAAATATAGTCTCTGTACAATTCATTTTCTGAAATTGTAGTTGTTTGTAGTTCATGAATACTTGATACTTTTCGATTTAATAATGCATACTGAAATATAAGTTATTTCGAGACAGTTCGATGTTCACAAATAAATTATTTGAAGACGTTTTAATTAATTTCATTATTTATCAAAGGCCTATACATTTTCAGTTGATTTGATCTGTTATAAATTTTTCTTTTTTAGTTTTTTAAACCGCTCCCTTAGAAAAGTCCGCCTTTAAATGTCTGAAGTCCGAAGTCCGCGGTTCGCTGTACGCTATTTCGCAAATGTCCACTAGCAGATGCATATACGCATGTCCGATGAATCTTCCTTATATGGTGATTGTTATTAATTCGCCATAGTCGCTTACAGAGAACTATTGTCCAAACCGATGACTGAATGACAAAGCATATATGCTTATTTACTATACATTTTATGCTATCACATTCACATTGTTCAGGTCAATATAGATATAAGCCATAATATAGATTTTTTTTTTTTTTACAATATTTCAAACTTTAAATAGCTTTTTTATGCATGCCAATTCCCATGGAGCCTCAACTTTAACCTATCGTTTTAAGTCAAGAAATGCACATGAAATTTGTTTTCACCGAAATGCGAGAATACATGAAGTCATTTGTCATCAATGAGTGGGGCGGGGCCAAAATCTAATGGGAATTGGATGTAAACATGGTACCTCAACCCAAATGAAAGATCTATGTATTCCAAATTACGTGTCTATATATTTTGTTAAAAATATTATTTCATAAGGATACACATATCAGTATATTTATGCAAAATTTAGAGAAAAATTTGGACATTTAATTTTTTGTCAATTTACCGGAGACCGTATGTCACATCACCCTTATTATACGTACATGTATTAGTAAATAATTGTATTTATTTGAAAACCCATCAAAAGTATAAATTGAGAGAAAAATTCTTTTTAAAAAGAACACCTGTTAAATTAAAGCACATGTACTAGATGGAACATTTCAATAATAAGGAAATCAACACATCCGCGTGTTAGTTTTAGCATCTGCCTACTTTATATGTTAGGAAGAATATACTACATACGCATGGTGTTAAAAATAAAAATGTCCTAAGTGTAAGTACATGTCAAAGTGCATACGTCAAATTGATAAAAAAAAAATTTTGGCTTCATTTGAATTTTGTAAATGTTAAACAATACATAATTTCGTATAGAACCATAATAGAAAAAGGTGTTATAAAATATTTTAAAGTTTAAAACTTCAACTGAAATAGTTAATCAAAATGCAGTAAACACTAGAATAGCTACTGAAATTGTATGGTTCTGTCTTCAAATTTCTATTTGTATGTTTGTTTGTATGTATATAATAATTCTGGTGTAACATACCATATGAGTGGATAGAAAAATTAACTAAGTTACATTGCATGTGTTGCATACGTTACAATGACTAAGGTCAGAAACGTATCAATCCACTTGACATTAAGTATGAAAAAAGATTTATAAAAATACAATTATGAAGGAAATATTGTTTCATATTTCTACACTCATAGGTGAAAAATTAGAATTTTGGAATGAATGGATAGATTCACAAGTATTTTTGAAGTAAGCTGGTATTATAACCTGTTTTGGGACAGTTTACGCTTTTTAAATTAGATTGAAAAATATTGTGTGTTGTTTTGTTTACAAAAAATATTTTTCAACTCACTTTTTATCTACAGTTTCAGTTCGATATTTATTAAAGTTTTCATATACGAATCGACTCTATACGTTCGTTAAATTAGCTACTAGTTTCAAAGACCGATATGTAATGCACTTTTAAAAGCGAATGCCTCATTAAATTTCTTTCAAATCAGAAGCATTCAAACACTGTAATTCAACATCATTCTTACTGTCAAATTTCGACAATTTTTTTTGCAGAGCTTGATCAAAATTAATCAAATGGTAAAAATACCAAATTGTTTACATGCTCTTCAGATTTCCTCTCATGCCAAAAATAACCTGGCAATATATGCTATAATAAGACGCACATTATTAAATAGAAACATACCAATAAAGCTTTCTGATGAATGTGATGACTTCAACATTGTAATTGTCAACTCCCTTACTTATGAAGCGCCTACCACTATAACCTGCAAAAGGGGTTCAGATCTCAGGGTTGATTCGATAGGTAAGTGCATAACTTACGTACGTACAATTTCTTTTCTTTGCAACCTATTGACAAATAAGTTGAAACAGGTTTATCAAAAGCCTTGTTTTGCAAGTCCCATGATCGTTACAATGACCATTTTCAGCAAATACAACCAATCTTTTTTACATGGTAATTTCCTAACCCAGTCAAGCTAACGACAAACAACTTGAGGAAACAATGGTATCAACATGCAGTCTTGTTTGAAGTCATCCTTTCGAAATTTAAGGTCGATGCCTTCTCAGCTAAAAAAATATAACATGAAGTCAAATGATGATTGACGTTTGACAATTGAATTGTTAGGCCTTAATTTATAAACAGAATAGCCTAAGGATTTGTTCCCCAAATCATAACAAGAGCACACGGCGTGTGAGAGCGGTCGGCAGGAGATGTCCACTCCTCCATGGCAACTGATCCCAATTTACCAAACTCAAATCCAATTTGTTTTTTGTAAAGTTTACACTTTAATCTGTAAATTTAACACTTTAATCTGTAAATTTTACACTTTCTTGTGTAAAATTGACAGATTTAAGTGGGGAAAATGAAAAATTAAAGTGGCACTAAAAGACCTTTTTATGAATTATTACATTTCGAATTTTTGTTACATCTATTGTGTAGGAATGAAGTACTATATCCATTTTTAAAAAAAGCTTGTTTTAAATCATTTTTTGCAAAAATAGCGCACTAATAAATAATGCACAAAGAGAAAATCAAGTACTTTTATATTTTTAAGTATTTACAGTACAAATAACATAAAAGTTGACTAAATATACTTTTTTATATTGTTTAAATTTCTATTTTTTATATATATTTTGGCATGAATTAAAGGAAACGGAATTTTTTTCCTCTTTTCTCACACCACCTGGGACAAACTTAGATCAATAGTTTCATTTTGTTAACACGCAATATAATATTTAAGTTCTGATATTACATATTATAGCTTTTTATATTGTAGCATCAGCATGAAATATAAAAGCAATGCCCTTTGTCTAATTTGTCTTGAATGAACCAAACATACATGTAGGTAAAAATGATCATTGACAAGTTATTTACAATACTTCAATAATGATTATAGATATTCAGTATATATTTCTTAACACATTGTTTATTGTTTCAGCAGTTTAGAAGACACAAGAAAAAACATCAAAATGAAGGTTTTAACCCTACTTGTCATTTTGTTGATATATGAAGTAAATGGATTTCAGCCACATCATTCAGTAAAAGGTAAACAATAAATCAACATGCTATTTTTTTCACAAAAATTATATTTGTGTTTTACGCCTATTAATTCAATTCATATAACCACTGCAAAGATGTTTAATTCTTTAACCACTGCAATTTTTTTCCCTTGATTAATCACCGGTCACGGTAGCCTAGTGGTAGAGCGTTCGCTTCGTGATCGGGAGGCCCGGGTTCGATTCTCGATCGCGGCGCCGCGTCATACCTAAGACGTAAACATAGGTAGTGACTGTTCCTTCGCCAAGCGCTCGGCACTAGAAGTGAAAGTCACGGGTCTTTCGGATATGACCTTAAAATCGTAGGTCCCGTGTCACGGTAGGCGTTGGCACGATAAAGAACCCTCACTGCTCAATGGCCCTGAGTGCCGAGTATAGGTCTAAATTTGAAGCCCTTCACCGGCATCGGTGACGTCTCCATATAAGTGAAAAATTCTCAAGAGGGACGTTAAGCAATATACAATCAATCAATCCTTGATTAATCAGAGAGAAATAAGTAAAAATTATATTGTTTCAGATCAAATATCTAATTACTTGAAAACTGCTCCATGGGAACACGTCAAATCATTCGCCAAGATTAAGACACCGCTATCTATGGATATCACATCCAATTACAGGCTTCCTGCAGGAACCATTTTGAATGGCTTAAAAGTCGGTATGTTTAAAATAGGTCTTTATTCTTGAAAACTTTTTAAAGTATTATCGACTTCATACATGAATTATGGATTATATTGCAATATAATGCAAGTTTTTCGTTCAAATTAGAAAATAACATGTATTATACTATCTTAATTTGAGACGAGAGTAAGCTGTTTTGTCAATGAAATGAACATTGTCGGAAAATTGACCATATTTTAATAAAAAGTATTCATTAATTTTAATTTTATATTTTTAGAGACATTAAAAAAAACAAAGTTTGCAATTCAGTTGAGCAAAAAAATACACGTTCTGATATTGAATGTATTGAAACTTTACATATGTCACCCCTACTAATGTTATTGTGATTTAAATTCAAAACACGTGGTTTAGGTGTACCTATTCAAGGGTTATAGGGAAGAAATATGAATATAAATAAAATTGGTAGTAAACAGGAAATTGCTATAGTCTGTTTTTCTGAAAACATGTCCTGTGAAAAATGTGTTTCCACACCTTTCTGAAAGACTTTCATGATTTTCAACAGAAATTGGTGACTTAAGAGGGGGGATTAATAACAATTAATACATCTCATCGTAGTTTACTGCAAAAATTACAGCTCACTAGCGACCGATACGCTGGTAAAAATATGTAATATTATCTACACTGACAAACCTTTGTTTTCCTTACATGGCTATTGCTATTAATGCGCACAGAGGATCATACCACAAGCAACTGACCAATTGTTAATTGAATACATTTAAGCCAATAAATGTTTACATGTTACTTCGAACACGTGGTTCAGGTCATTCTATGATCATGTCAATGGAGTGAAAAATTAAATATTTACATTTGCAAATGTTTTCCTTTATATAACACTACTGAAGGCAAGCGTTTTTATAACTGTATAAATACAGGTATGGGGTCAAGAGGTCATAGATGTCGTTTGAATAAACGTTCGACGTAATTTTTCTGTGACGTCATTAAGGGTCGACGCGCGTTTATAGATTACATACATGCCGTTGGGTTTGAAAAATTAACACATTTCACACGTTAAAAGTAACAATCAGGCAAATATAAAGTATTAATAAGTCACAAATGTAAATATAAGTAATAAGGTATCATTTTTTGAGTTTTTTACTGAGATGTAAAACGGGTTGGCACATGATCAAATCTTCCATAGAGCCCTTCGGGCTTTATGGGATTTGATCACGTGACCAACCCGTTTTACATCTCAATAAAACTCAAAAAATGATACCTTATTTCTTAAATAAATGTTATTATGAACAAACTACAGACATTAGAAACTATCAAAAATATCACGGGCGTTTTTAGAGAAACATATGTTTAATAAAATGTATACGTAGTTAGTGTAAAGATCAGAACACACCAGCACTTCAAGGGTAAAGAAAACGAGCAGCTTCTTGTATGCATTTCAGGAGGCTAGGTGGTCAACAAATTGTTTTTAATTAACTACCAGATATAACTTAAATTTTGGGATATGATATATCAAGCTGACATTTGGCAAAGAAAAATTTCATTAATTTTAATTGTAAAATTTGATCATTTTATCATATCTTTATATGGAGCTCTTCTTCTAAAGGAGATTAAAAAAGTCTAAAAATGGCCGCGACCCCCCAGCCTCTTTAAATGGACAAAACAGTTTTTACATAACTATACTCGTGATCAAGTGTTTTGGTCAGGGAATCCACCTGACAATTGTATTCACCGATAGTACAATAAAGGAATTTATCAAGCGTTAAATTCTTGTAGTATTCTTATAGTAACCCATAATGCAATTTTCATTCATCTGATTTGTCAGTTCAGGTCACATTGGTGCCTCATTTGCTAATCTGAGGCCAAAAATATAGTCTGGTTCCCATGCAAAATCTTTGTTCAAAAAGAAATTTTAATGCATGACAGCAGAAAATTGTATTCTATAGAGTACTTATAATTTAAACTTGAATGAATTCAAGAAAGATCAATTGAAGTACATTTCTACAGAATGATAGTATAGGTTGGTGAAAACAAAAACGCAACATAACTTTCTGCTTACCATGTCTCCGCGTCCTGGTCACTTCCTAGCCATATTCCCGTGAATAATTTACCCTATCTCGCTGAAGCCTCGCAAACTCGCGTCAGAGGCACTGTCAGATGTACTCCAAACTCATCGGGTTTTATAATTTGCAGAACACCGAAAAATAAAAGGTTCCGAACACATTAGTTGGAGTGTATGTAGTTCTTCTCATTTTGGATTTATAATTCATTTTACTAAAGAAAATACCAAAAATGTAAACATTTATACTTTCAATTATTAGTTTTTTTTAGTTCCTCCGCATTTGTTTGATTACAAACTCCTTGACTTTGTAGTTACAGTTAAAGGTAAAACAGGGAAAAACTGTGTTGATATTTTAAAAAGAGATCTTTCTACCAAGAGAAAGGATGGTATTTATACAATCAACCCTGACAACAAAAATCCAGTAAAGGTGTATTGTGACATGACCACCGATGGAGGAGGTTGGACGGTAAATATACTTATAGTCATGTGGTCTGTGACTTCTTTTTTTTTTTTTTTTTTTTGAAATTTCAATAAGAACAAAAGAAAATTAAGATCAATACATATAATATAGAATCAAAGCAATGCAACATTATCCAGTTAATATTTCTAGGGATGTGAATGCGTTTAAATATGTTCCTGACAGTACGACCAAGATGAAGATAACGAACAGTAATCAGTCCTAAAAACAAAACAACCAACTTACAAACAAAATTAATCTGTAAACATGCAGGGCATAAATCAAGGACCCCTGAATGATTCAGAGGTGGGATCAGGCAATTAGGACCTCATGTCGACTGGTCAAAATATTCGTGAGCTCAATGTATTGATTGCAAAGACGGAAAACTTTGTAGTCAAATTAAGTAATGGATGAAGGGGGAAAAAAATGAAATATTCCAATTAAAATACGATCCTTGTTAGCAAGCCCATAAAGTTTCCGAAATGCCGAAAATAAATGGTAAGATGAATGCATTAAATTATTTTTAAAAGCCTGCCTCTATTTACAAATTCATTGTATTCAGAGTATGCTATTCAGTCTCGAAAAATGTTGGAATTATTTAAAGAATGGCTATATGATAGCTGATTAAAACTACACAAATGAGCGATGTAAAAGATCTTATCGTCTATAGTCAATAAAATACGAAAATAAGAAAAAGTTGTGGCAGACTCCACTAAACATGTTATTAACTGAGTTCACTGTGATACTAGTATATCGAATTGACATATGAATAGAATTAGTTGTCATTAATTCGATTCGGATGAGGTCGCATAATCTGAGGTTCCGTGTCGAAGAAGGTGTTGCCACAAAAAGATCCTCAAAGTTCATTTACCCTTAGTGCTGAGTATAGGTATGGATTTGTGGCCCTCCAGCAGCAAATAGCTGCATAACTGAAAAATTCTATAGAAAAGGGTGTTAAAAAAGCAACCCAAAAACATGCAAACTGTTGCTTATTGATAAAACGACGGCGATATATTTAAATGGAAGCTACAAAAAAGTATCTTCTTCATATTTCATGTTTTTGTATAAATTCTGCCACCTCTCACAATAAAAGTCATAAAATCTTTTTTTGTATTAATGAGAAAAATAAATTACAGGTAATTCAAAACAGGTATGATGGTTCAACTAATTTTTATCGCAACTGGAATGACTACAAGATAGGTTTTGGTAACATTTCGCGGGAATTTTGGCTTGGTAAGTAAAATAAATCCTTGACTTAAATTATGAAGCAAATTACCATTCATTTTATCAATATTTTAAACAATTGATTACCACAGTCTAATTGTATATGTTGCTATCTTTTTATAAACAGGGAATGACATAATTCATGCTTTAACTAAAAATGGTGACCAAGAACTTCGTATTGAAATGACAAAGTTTTCCGGATCAAAAGTTTATGCAAAGTACTCAAGCTTTTATATTGGTGAAGAATCCAAAAAGTATAAACTCTCAATCAGTGGATATAATGGTACCGCTGGTAATGTTTTTATATAGTAGTTAAATATATAAGTATTTCATAAATTATTTCTTAAAGTATTTAGAAAATATGCTTCCATAACTGTAAGAATATGTTTGTTCTTTTTTCTAGGATACAAAGAAGTCGTTTAATAAAAGCAAAAACAAAGTTAAAGTTAACTCTAATTATTCAAAAAGGATATACACTGTATTTCGCCTTGAAGAAATTCATAAACTTAATTTAAATTATTATATCTCTGTGAATTTGTTCTATATAAAATATAAAGAATTATTAAACATACTATCTTTTCCGAACTGCACATACCATGAGCTACATGTATCTGCCCATGGTGAAATAGTCATCAAACTATTTACTTGCAGCATTCTCGTTTTTGATCTCGGAAATCTTCTGATTTCATATGGATTGTATGACGTATATATTATGACGTAACAAAAGTAAAGTCAGCATCGGTATAATAAAACACCTATTTACTGACTATTCGGACATAAGCAAGTTTATCGTCCCCCTCGACTGCAAACTATTTCCCTTGGCTGCGCATCGGGAAATAGTTTGCTGTCTTGGGGGGACGATAATTTGCTATTGTCCTCATAGCCAGCAAATAGCTGTATTCTAATACTCTAACATTACCGAATCTGTATACTGTATATGATGTTTTCGTTTGTTCTCTCTTGAGAATTTTTCACTTGATATTGAGATGCCACCTCTTGCCGGTGTTGGGCTGCAAGTTTTGACCTGTATACTCGGCACTCAGAGCTACTCAGCAATGAGTGATCTTTATGTGCCGGCATCTACTACGACCTCGGTATATACGGTCTCATTGGAAGGACCGGTCTCCATGTCTCACAATGGAATTCGATCCTGAGGCGTTAGTATCAACTCATTACTCAATAACTCTAGAGCGGACGCTCTACCACTGCACCACCCCTGTCGCTCTATATGATAACTTGTTGTTACAGGAGATTACCTATTAGGTGGCCAAAACTTAAATGGAATGGCTTTCTCAACAAAGGACAAGGATAACGACAAGTTCATCAAGCGCCATTGCGCAAAAGTGGAATATGGTGCTTGGTGGTACAATCAATGTTCCTACTCCGATCTGAATGGAAGATACACTCCTAAACAACTGAATTCCGGCTACTATTTGTTCTGGGGAACATCGGCAGAGAACATGAAAACAACTAAGATGATGATTAGGACGAGATCCTGAAATAAAATAAATTAAGTACTGATTTTTTAAGTGATTTTTTTTGTTTATTCTCATTTTCCAATTTACTTTTCGAGCATTCTTCATTTCTTACTCAATGTATGCGAGTTAAATTTATTTAATCTTCTTAACCATTACAGGGATAAACATTCCAATATCCGTGAATTCTGGAGGTGAATTTGAATTTTGGAAAAAAATCTTGTTACTACTACTCATTACAATTCTCCAGTCGAGGTTGCAAATCTTTCCCGAAAACAAATGTGACAAGTTATTTTGAATTATTCATATTCTATGTATTTCTTTTCATTATCACTGCTGGTAAAGTGCAAATCGAGAAAATGTTGGTTTACTATTACCAACTACCATTGATTTACATCAACAAAGAAGTGTTTTGATATAACCTTCAGTATTGACTCAATATTTAATCAATACACACTATATTATTAATTAATTTATATGGAAAATTAAGGCTTAGTCAGTATATATAAAACAATAGCTGAGAAAGAACTTATCAAGTATATTTTTAATTTATTACAAAAATTATTTATCAGCATACTCTTCCCTTCTCCCTAACCTTGCTGTTAGCAACAATTCTTGCAGCTCTTAACTTCGGCTATTTCCGTGTCGCCGATATTGAACGATGTTTAATTCCAAAGAACTTTTGGACAAATTAAAATACATCTTTATACAGAACCATTCCCCACGATAAATTAAAGTCAAGGCTTTTGATATCATTGATAGCTGTTTTTTCAATAAAAATGTAACTCATAAATTAACTTATCTGGTCATCCGTCATTTGCAAAATTATTTTTTTAAAACACATTCTGATTGCACACACAAGTACTCTGAAGTTAACATCAAAGAGATGCTTGAGTTTCTGATTGACAATATATATGTGGTTTTTGGAGACCAGGTATTCCAACAATCTATTGGAATTTCCATGAGTACCAGTTGCGCTCCGTTATTAGCAGACCTATTTTTATCAAGCAGAATTTGTGCAAAATCTTTTGCGTGAAAAGAAAAAAAAAACACTTGCCTTAGCCTTCAACTTGACATTTAGATATATCGATATTGTCATTTAACAATAGCATAATCCATTCCTACGTCAATACGATATATCCTGGTGAGCTTAAGATAAAAGATAACACAGAGTCTGACACATTTGTTTCATACTTGCATATTTTACTTTAAAAAGACGTTAATTGTAATTTAACAACCAAGCTATATGATAAATGTGATGACTTTAACTTTTCTATCGTCAACTTCCCTTCCTTATGCAAGGATATACCTTTATTACCTGCATACGGAATATATATATATCTCTCAGTTGATTCGATACGCGAAAGCATGCTCTACGTATGAGCAATTTCTAAAACGGGGTAAATTATTGACAAGGAAGTTGATGAAACAAGAATTTCAGCAGTCTCGTTTAAAGTCATCATTTCGTAAGTTCTATGGTCGATACAATGACCTTGTCAGCAAATACAATTTATCATTGAGTCAAATGCTGACTGACGTTTTTCATAAACTTTTTGTTAGTCAATTATTTATCAATGAATTGACGACGGATTTTTTCCGTTATTTCTCGATCATGACAAGGAGCACACAGCGGGTGTGACCGGTCAGCAGGTGATGCTCATTCCTTCATGGCACCTGATACCACCTCTGATGTTTTGTTGATTTACATAGATTCACGTCTGTAAACTACGATTTACAATCGTAAACTATAGTTAAGAGTTGTTAAGAGGCCGTGTCAGTAACCATTGAGCTTTACATGGAAAGTCAAAAATTTTGAATTGGGCAAAAACCACCCTAAAATATTGGAAACAACAACAACAAAAAAAAAATTTAAGACAAATTTTACAAATTTATTCATCTTCATTGGTTTCCATGGCAACAAATGTGATTTGCGTAGTAAATTCTCAATGAAACATTGTAAAATAATACAAATTCAGACATATTCAAATGCAGAGTGGGGACTATTGGAAGGTCTAAATTTGTTTTTTGATACTGAAATAATGAAAGATGCATCAGAAGAAAATATCTTTATGTCTCTAAGTATTTTTTATGGTTGCTATGGTAACCGAAAAATGACAAGGTTTTCATGATGGGAATATCTGTGGAAAATTCAGTTTTTAAAAAGTTGAATACTTAAAAACGCAACTACCCTAGATATTGTATGCCATATCAAGTTAAAGATATATCCCAATACTATGAAAAAATAAAATAAAAATTGGTAGTCAGGTGTCCCAATTTTTTTTTCAGCAATCAAAATTGGCAATTTTTTCAAAACACTTTTAATGGATTTTTGCATGTTTTGGCAATTTTTTTATATTACATCAGATATTTGACAGTAAGATACCAAATTTACAGAAATATAGTACTTTACGATAATCTATGGTTTATGACTTTTTTTTTTACAAAACAATAGTAAAAATTTCTCCATAGCAACAAAATGTGTACCCTAGCAACCGACTTGACTGGGATCAGCAAAACATGAAACATACACCCACGAAAATAAAGCCTCTCAAGTGGAATATTTGGGTCATGGCATCCTTATCAACTGTCAACCCTGTTGTACTTACCCTATCATATAAGCAATAATAATTATCATTGCTGTACAATGTCTCATACAATATACCGGTTGTCAAAATGTGTACCAAATACGTGAAAACTTAACCATATGATAAAACGAAAGCCGATATGTTTGTCAAAATAACGCAACAACCCAAAGCTTTATCTACTAACTGGCTAATTTTCATTGCTATACCACGTTTGTTATTCATGCTATGAATCTAAAAACATGAAAAACAACGAGTAGTGTCGGTGAAACACAAGACGACCTTATACATGTACTTATTTGTGAAAATGAACATATACCTAAGCCTAAACATCAGCAAGGCTTCCTTGTGAAAACGAAGCTTAAAGCAACTTCATATTAATTAAAAGTTCATCTTGTTTTACTATCAAAGATCAATCAACCAGTCAAATATCAATGCTCACTATAAGTATTATAGCTATGAATGTACAACTAGGCACCACTATAGCATATCTGGTACCTTATTTCTAGACTAAATGTTTTCTGAAGTGTACAGTAAAATATTTTACAAAAATATTTTGCTAGAAATAATACTAACAAAATTAATGTCCTTCAATGTACATTTATGCATATAAGTAAACAAGAGGTATGACACATTTGATTTTAGATATTATCTACGTTAGTCTTAAAGTTTAAATTCTTTCATAAGCATTACATGTTTATGCAACCAACTAGAGCTAGAGCAGTACAAACAGGACAAATACCATGCACCCCCAACATGGGGCAAGATCACACACTATCAACAGTACTATATGATGAATTTATGGAGTTATTCAAGCATAAAATGGAGGTCACATGTAGCATCCTACGCATTTTACACAGCAGTCATATACAAACCATGCAAGCAAGTTATAATCTTTGAAACACTAGTCTAAACAAGTGGCCCAGGGACCACATCACTCACCTGAGCAACTGGCTAGGTAAAACCATTTTTGAATCAGTTCAGTATTGAAATATTTAAAGATGAAACTGTAGCCCCACTCTACCCCCAGGGGTTAGGATTAGAACAAAATTGAATTCACACTACCTGAAGATGCTTCCACATGAGTTTCATCTTTCCTGGCCCATTTCTTCTTGAGAAGAAGATTTTTAAATATGCATTTATTTTTTCACCAATTCGTAATTATCTCCTCTTCGAAGAGGACCATTTAAAAATCTGGAAACCCCTTTACCCAAGGATACTTTGTGGCAAGTTTGATTGAAATTGGCCAGTGGTTCTTGAGAAGAAGATAAAAATGTGAAAAGTTTATGCTGATGACAGACAACGGACAAATCTTGATTAGAAAAGCTCACTTGAGCCTTTGGCACAGGTGAGCTAAAAAGTTCATAACCATAAGATGATACTTGATGGACAAAAGACAGATAGCAATAAGTACCCAGATTAACTCAATTTAATTATTCAATCAAATCATATGAATAAATCCTAAATCTCTCTTTAACTATTAAATTGAGCTAAAATATGCTGGGGATGGAACATAATTACAACACAGAAGAAGCTAAAGCTGTTAGTTGTGTCACATCATTCATACACTCCTCTGCTGTCAAGTCATTTTCATCAAATTTTGAATTTGATTCTTTGCGTTTTTTCAATGATAAGCGACTAAAAAAGCTTCCAATTTGAGATGGCGTAAGAAAATCCTGATTGTTAAACTGTCTTGTACCATTACAATTCTTTAAATGTCTCATTTCTTCTGCAACCTTTTCGGGATCACACTTAAATCCAGTTGACTCCCCATAGTAAAATTTTTCAGTCATAAATGAAATTTATTCCTTAAAAATGTTTTTCACTTTTCGCTTGCACTTGAGTGCCCAACCCTGATTTAATGTTGTAACAACCAAACTGGTAGACAAACTCGTATCTAGTAAAGTCTTCTGTGGGGAACGTTTATTTTCAATAAGAGTAGAATAGCTTTTTTGTGTTCGCTCTCTTAGATTTAAAGTCTGAGATGGAAATAGGTGATTTCCTCTGTCTAAATGAAGACATAACTGACCATATTTCATAAATGTTGCTGTACAGCCATCTTCTGTACATGTGAATACCTTATCACCCTGCTGTACTGACTCACTATTTTCAGTATTTTCAACAACAATGTCAGATTCTGTTTCAGTTACCTTAGTTCTGTTTTGAGTTAACCATGAAATGCAACTTTCCTCTTTGACTGTTATACATGCAGATGAATTACCAGTAGAATGGACATCAGTAGCTGTAAACTCTTTTCCTGTCCCGATTTCAAATTGCTTCCAAGCAGTAATCGTCTTGTTGTCAAAAAAGAAATTGTGCAAAAGGCTGATATTTTCAATTTTTCCACTTTTCAGAACATTAGACATTTTAACAGAGCTTGGTGGTAATGCAACAACTACTTTTAAGTTGGCCATAGTACTCTCTATGGCTGCTTTGAATTCT